CGCGTAGTGACGGCCCCGACCACTGCCGCTCGACCTGACCGGAGAAAACCGTAGCAGGAAGCTAGCGAAGTCGTAGTATATCTCGTCAAATAGAACTGCCCGGTAAACCGTAGGCAGAGAGGGAGAGAGGACTATATATATCGTCACAAACAGAACTGCCCGGTAAACCGTAGGCAGAGAGAGAGAAGAGGACAACAAACGAGGGGCTGCGACAAACTGTTTCGTCGGAGTTTCACCGACTATATATATATCGTCAATATATATCATCGTAGAACTGACCGGCCCCCACATGGATTCAGAATTATTTCATTCTGTTCGACTGATTGTGCCTGGATTCAAACCCGTGGGGCATTTTAGGAAGAAAGAAAAAAGGGGGAACTGCTCCGGGGTCACCTATTTAGTTTGAAATAGGCAAGAAAAGAGAAAGTGGCGTCCATGTCAAAATGTGCAAGTTGAGTGGGGGTTGAGACTGGCCATTTTTTGGAAGTGGGGTGAATGCAGATTTAGCGGCGTTTTTTTTTTCTTTGCCCTCTTTCGAGAACTGCTCAAGTTGCCTAAGCAAAAAGCTAAGGTGTGACCCAGGAGCCGTTGCACTCTAAAAAAAGGGGGGGGGAGGGGAGGGGGCGCTCAGGGCTTTCATTATCATTAACAACTTAGGCCGGGAATCCTAGAAAACAAACCGGAAAATGAAGCACTTGGACCGTTACCCAGGGTAGGTGCAGGGGTTGGGAGTTGTATCTAGGGACAGAAATGGCAAATTCCGGATCGCTGCCCTGATTCTGGTTGTGTATTTCAATTTTCAACAGTCCATGCGTTTTTTTTCGTTTTTTTTTTCTTCTTTGAGTAGTTCATAGGTTGGTTCCTTCACTTTTTTCGCTCTTTTATTGGGTTCCATTCTTTTTTTGGGTTCCATCCACCGTTGGTGGGTAGCCTGAACTGTATGTTGCCCACAAGAGTGAGAAGATGCATTCTTTATTATATTACTATTTATAATAACAGATGAAGCATTGCAGGTTTTGTGGAAAGATGCTCTTTTTCTCTTTTGCAAAGCCAGGGCTTGTTCCCACATTCCTACATGTTGAGTAAAATAGTTGTGTTGGTACTGATTGATTGTTTGTTGGTTGATGAATACAGATGTAAGATGGAATTTTTGGCTGAGAAACTCAGAAGCTCAACGGGCTGATAAATGTGTTCGTTGGAATATAACTGAATGTGTTCTTTGGAATAAACCGGATGTAAGATGGAATATAACTGAATGTGTTCTTTGGAATATAACTGAATGTGTTCTTCCGTAAAAAAAAAAAAAAAACCGCCAGTACTTGGCCCAGCCAGTCGATCCGTTTCATGTGTGGCCCGCATCGCGTTTCAGGCCCCCAAAACTTGCGCCCCTGGGGGCGAGGGCTTGATCCCACATTACTTAAACCACCAGGAGCACGGTTCCACTAGCAAGAGTAAGGTAAAATGTATCCCACAAACACCTGTGGGACATCTGCGGGACATCGTCCGACCACTGATAAAGGAGAATCCGATGGTAGAGAAATTGGTAGGGATTTATATTCTGAAGTGGTGTTTTCTTTTTGTTTTTGTGCTTTTTCTTTCAAGTTCTAAGAATGGGAGGTGGGAAAACCCCGAAAAGAAAATAGAAAGACTCATTTGATTGGCAGCTCTTCAAAAGATGAAAACAAATCAAGTACTCGAAGGGCATGGTTTTGAACCCCTTCTTTTTCCCCGTCAATGGTTAACCCCATCCAGTACTTCGATTTTCTCTCAAAATATGCGAAATGCACGCTTCAGCATGGCAACCGTCAGAGAAGGGAGTCCCATCAGGGACACGAAGGGATTCCCTCGCATCGCGGTGGTACGTGAGACTGCAACAGTCATGTACCACTCTGTCCTGGTTAGGCATTGGCTGGATGGGTGGGGAGCAGGGGGAGCAGAGGGGACGGTTAGTGGGACGGTAGCACTTTCAAAAGTCGGCCTGCTTCCCATCTTGGGAATGTAACGTCGCCATTTTTCTTTTTTTTTAAGTCTTTAAAATTACTTTTATTCGTTTTCTTACAGTGCCGCACAGGTCCAAATAGGCCATGACTCGTGTGCTAGTGGAACCGTGCCCCAGTACTTGAAAAAAATAAAAATAAAATAAAATAATGATAATAATAATAATAATAATGGACAGTTAAAAAAAAATAAAAAGTAATGGACAGTTTAAAAGGGGGGGGGGGGGAAACCACCAGTACTTGGCCCAGCCAAAGAAAAGTAGTGCTCACGTTTACAAGTGCAAGTTTTGGAGCCCCGCCGTCGATGGAACGCCACATCGCATTTCGGGGGCCTCTGGAACTTGATCTGGGGAGGCCGCGGCCGATGTATGGGCCAAGTACTGGTGGTTTAAACTGACTTTCTTTTCTTTCCCATCAGAGGTAACAGCCAGATTCAGAGGTCGAACTCTCATGAACTCTTTTTTTGGGGGGGGGGATATTTAATTGTATTCAAAGTTGAAAGGAAAGGAACCGAGGGCCAGGGGTCTGACAAAGTCTCATGGACCCTATCATTGCTGTTTTAAATATTTGTTCAACATCACTACCTCTCCCCCCCTGTAGCTAATTTGATTTCCGGTTGTGGTTGCTGTTCCTCCTCTCATTAAAAACCCCTTTCCTCCCCCCTTCCTCCTCCCACTCCTCTATTTAAACCCCCCTTCCTCCTCCCACTCCTCTTCCTCCTCCCCCCCACCCCCCGCCCTCAGTGTGTTTGATGCAGTGGGCAACAGCAGGGTGATCCTGAGTGAACAATTCTGATTTGCCTGGTTAATTTGCGGTGGATATCTATATCTATGTTTTCTCTCCGTTTCGGTTTTCGATTTGAGATATAGTCGTGTTGGGGGTAGGGGGGGAGCAGGTAAGGGAGAGAGAATCACGGCCGTCCAACTGGTGGAGGCAAGGAGGACAACAAGGATGAATGCAACCAGGGACCGTGCTCTGAGGGGGTGGTTGTGGATTCTGTTTTTACTCTTGAGTTATGGCGGGCATGGTGGCCAAGAGAGAAATGGGTGGAGGGAGGAAGGCAATGGTGCTATCTTGCTGGCCTCTGCCCAGACATCCCAACCCAGCGAAGAGCTCCCAGAATCTGACTCGGCAGGAGATGGCCCATATGTACCTCCACCATCAACATCTCTTCCAACACCAACCACTCCGCCATCGACATCTCTTCGAACACCAACAACTCCGTCATCAACATCTCCTCCAACACCAACAACTGTGCCATCAGCATCTCCTCTCGCACCAACAACTCCGCCGTCAACAACTACTCCGGCGAAATCCACTGCACCCAGTCAAGGAGTTGGTGTCAACATTGGATTCGGATTGAGCAGTAAGCCGCTCACCGCGAGTGAGATGGTGGCAATCGTGATGAAAACCAAGGCGTCTTCGGTCAAATTGTTCGGCGATTTCATCGATACTCCCGAGGCCATGGCGTTTATCGACGCACTTGCAGGGACGGGAATCGATGTCGTGATCCCAGTTGCCCTTCAGCAGATTGCTAAGCTTGCCTCTGACTACAACGCATCTCGGGATTTCGTACAGAGCAAGGTCAAGGTCCGTCTGGACAAATCAATCGCCATCTCCACCATCGCGGTAAGTTCCGTGGCCATCCTTTGTCTGCTTGTGTACGTTTTCTTCTCTTCCTCCCTTTGCCTTCCGTCTGCCCCTGTCTTTGATTGTTGAGGCTGTTTTTTTTTTTTTTTTTGAAAAAACTACACTATGTTCTTCTCTCAAATTYTTTTTCGCCTTTCACTACCTTCCTACCACTACTCCTAAGACTATATAGAGGGGACCCCTGCAAGCATAGGGCCGCCCCAACAGCGGTAGTCAGAGATGGGGTGGGGCCGCCGGTGGGGGTCCGGCTAACGCAAAGACCGAGCATTTTGCCAGTAGCCGCGCCTCCCTTTCTCATCGTCCCCCAACCCTCATCGAGTAGCAGCAGAGGCTATGGCCAACACTCTCCCACACACCACACAACCCACTCACGCTTCTGCTGCTATGGCCAACACTCTCCCACACACCACACGACCCACTCACGCTCACACTCACACCCGTGTTGGTCATAGACCCCGCTAATACCGATTAGGGGTATCCAGAGGACTATCACAGTCCGTTGGCACTAAGTGCGCCCCACGGGGCTTGAACCCACAACCTCCTGAATGCCACTTGCGTGCCTACGGGGTAGGTTGGCACCACAGCAGTGGTGCAAGAGGAAGGCTGTACCAGTCCTTCAAATGCGGACAAAGACTGTTTTGGCTGGACATGCCCACTCCTACTCTGTACATACAGGCTAATATCTACCAATGAGAATTTAGGAAGTAGCATCATACTGCTTCTGATTTTTCACTGAAAGAACTGTGAAGACTCTCGGTCGAAGCTGTCGCTTTCGGAAGCAAGGTTGAAATGTGATGTAGCCAAGTGAGAAAAATTAAACCACCAGTACTTGGGAGCCACTTCTGGCCCGGGCTCCAAACGCCCTGTGCGGCAAAAACAAATGTAACCGGCGCGGCCAGCCATTTTGCTGCGGTTGCCCACCCTCGAAGTTGTGGCAGCATGCAAGGCCCGTGCCGAGAAAAATGGCTGGAAAAGGTACTGGTGGTTAAAACCAGCAGTACTTATGAGGCACTTTTTCCCCGCCGGGGGCTAAAAACACCCTGTGCATAGGAAAAAAACGAACAGGCGCGGGCCTGGTTTTGGCTGGTGCCGCCAGCCAGTTTGCTCCTGTTGCTGACCCCCGAAAAATTGTCGCAGCATGCAAAAAGCTGCGTCGGAGAAAATGGCTGGGAAACATACCTGGTGGTTTCATGAAACGTCAGTCTAACTACTGTGCATATTTCCTGTCAGCGCAGTGTGCTCTAATTGCCGTTTCAATTTGCGCTCTAATTGCTGTTGCAAATTGCAGAGAGATGAAATTGAATTATTCAAGGCCTCTGAGACCGGTGATTGCAGCGTTTTCTGCTGCAAAATTGATTACTGCCTTTCCCTTTTCTGCCGCCACTCCATTAGTCAATTCATGGAGGTCTCCAAGTGATCAACCAGAGGGCAAACTGCAGCATACCATTCGCCCTTGCCGTAGCTAGCTGCTAGGCTTTTGCCCAGGCTTCCATGAACCATTTGAGGGCTTCGATGATGTTGTCGCACCTTCCCTCACCTTTCCTCTTTTTTCGTTTTGCCGTTGATAAATTGGATCGGCGGTCGCATTTTCGTTTTGTGCTTCCAGAACTCGAAGTGTCAGGCCTGCGGCCCAGGTGCCCATGTACTGGTGCTAACCACCGCTCCCCCGCTGTAAATATGCCATAGCTTCTGCCCGCGTTTTACAGGGGTCAGCGACCAGCAGGCACCGGGGGGAGTGCTGCATTTTGGAAGCGGTAGTGCTCGCTGAGACGCCCAGGTCGGTGGCCAGCGGAGCGGGCCGGTAGCGAAACCTCAGGCTGGTCCAAACTGTGGGTGCCGACGGTGCGGTGTTTCGGCAGAATAATAAAAATTAGTGCGGTCACCAAATTAAAAAAAAAAAAAAAGCAAATTTGAAGAGGGGAAAATAAATATTTTCTCGGAAAAGACAAAAAAAAGAATGCAAAGAACTTTGAAAGCAGAGAAAAAAACTTCCCTCTCCTCCATTGAGGTCACAGCGGCCCATGGATTCACCTTGCTATGGTCACCATGGCATACTCATTGAGGTCTAGCTGCCGTGGTCTAGAGCCAGGGCTATCTGGCTATTTTGCCTGTTCGGCCTGTGGGACCAGGCCGTGTGCTCATATAGTCCAGTCTCGGTACCACTGTCGGTACCAGGCCAGTAGAGTCCAGTCCAGTCAGTCTGCTGGGGGTATACCCCAGCTGCAGTCTGATTTCAGCATCATTCTTCATTTGCGCAATTTGGAGTAAGCGCGTGTTGAGTCTGCGTGGGAGCTGCACTGTCTCTTCCATCTCCATCTCCATCTCCCCCATCGTCATCCCTTCATCTTGATCCTGACGGACTGCCATCCGGGGGGGTCCGTCACACTGGTATCAGAGCGGGAACGGTTCCTGCTCCCACTCATCCCATCCCGTAAGTGTGAGAAAATGGTGTAATCCTGATAGCGGGGTTTGCGCCCTTTTTCGGAGCCAGAAGACGGGAAACAGCGGGAAAAATGAGCAGCATAAGTGATGCACACGTGGTGAAAAAGGAGAGCGGCATCACAACGTGTGCGCACAGGCGCCGCCATGGCCAAGGTCGCTGCAATCGCGCACGCCCCGCTGCCCCGCCCCTGGGTTACATTATATCAATAATTCAATATCCTAGAGTGCAGCTGCCAGAATTTGAACCTGGGCAGCTGCCAGTGATGCGCTTATGTAGCCAGTGGCTTAACACACAGCTTGCCGAAGATCTTGAAGACCCCCCTGGCTAGGGGGCTGCACTACAGTGGAATCTGGGTGGCTGATCAAGATCTCAGCATACCCAGATAATGATTATTATTATTATAATTATTATTATTATTATTTTTTCTACTCCTGCAGCGGCCGTTTGGCCGCAGTGGCTAGGGGGCTGTGCGACTGTGCAATCAGGTTGGCTGATCAAGATCTCAGCATACCCAGATAATGATTATTATTATTATAATTATTATTATTATTATTTTTTCTACTCCTGCAGCGGCCGTTTGGCCGCAGTGGCTAGGGGGCTGTGCGACTGTGCAATCAGGTTGGCTGATCAAGATCTCAGCCAACCTGAGATTATCATCATTATTATTTCTATTGCTGCAGCAGCAGGCCAGCAGCACCTTGAAGGCCAGGATCCTATGGATCTTGGTAGTGCTCTCTGCTCTTGGCCACCCAATAGCTTGGTATAACCTTCCTACTCACTCCCGAGTTCCAACCCCTTTTCTCCCACCCCCCCCCCCCCCCCCCCCCCTCTGCCCCCGTCATCTAAGAATCCTTTCTAACTCTACCATTACCCCCTCAGGTGGGCCGCCACAGGTGTGCGTGTGTGTATGTGCGTGTCATTGCATGTGTGTGTGTGTGCGTGTGTGCGTGTGTGCGTATGTGCGTATGTGTGTGTGTGTGCAGCAACTGCAGCAGCTACATCCAATGCATCATTCACTACTGCAGCAGCAGCTGCAAATGTCGTAACAGTTGTGGCAGCAGAGGGGTGTGTGTGTGTGTGTATGTGTGTGTGTGTGTGCAGTAAATGCCGCAGCTACGTCAGGTGCATCAGTTACTACTTCAGCAGCTGGTGTAGGTGTTGCATCAACTGTGTTTAGCAAATGTGTGTGTGTCTGTGTGTGTGCGTGGTGGGTGTGTGTGTGTGTGTGTGTGTGTGTGTGTGTGTGTGTGTGTGTGTGTGTGTGTGTGTTCAGGAGTGATGGGCAATGCCCCTGGGGGCCCTACAACCCCTATATTAAAAAAAAAAATAAAAAAAAAATTGGACTCGGTACCGAGCGTTTGGGTTCAGTCACCGAGCCCGAACGCGATGCTACGCAGCTCCCTACTCTCTTCTTCCAGTACATTTTGACCCCTTGCCTTGGGGGTAGCGAAGTGCTAGAATTTCCATTTTACTTCGTCATTCTTATTGACGGCACACTCCGACCCCATGGGGGTAACAAAATGCTGGTGAAATTTTTGAAAAATCCAAAACTTAGTTTTCTGTTTACCCTCCTCCACCTCTTTATTTCTTTATTTCTTTATTTCTTTATCCTAAAATTTTTAATTTGCGGCATTTTGAAACTAGGTGTACTTCTCTTGGTCTTCCTCTTGGCACATTTTTCACCCCATGGGGGGAAGGGAAATGCTGTAAAAAATTCCAAAAAAATAAATATTTGTTTTCTCCTCAGCTTTTGCTTATTTCTTTCTTTCTTTATTTTCATTACTATTATTTCATTTTTATCTCGAAATTTCACTATTTGGTCCGGTTGCGCTTATCACCAGCAAGCATAGAACACAGTTCTACGAAAGAATTTGAGACATGACATGAGATTTGGCTGTATGTGTTTGACAATGTGAGACAATGTGTGACAATATGTGACAATGTGTGACAATATGTGACAATGTGTGACAACGTGATATCCAATTTTTTTTTTGTATATCTGTCATGCAGGTCGGCAACGAAGTTCTTCTGCCGGAGCATGGCACTACATACTGGGCAACGATCGTTCCTGCGATGCGGAATGTCTACACCGCACTGCAGGACTTCGGTCTACACACGAGCATCAAGGTTATCACCCCTCTCAACTTCAATGCTCTGCAAGCAACATACCCTCCAAGTGCGGGGGCATTTAACCAGTCATACATGGGTACGATAAAACCTTTGTTGCAGTTCCTGAACGAAACGGGCTCGAGCTTCATGGTGAATATATACCCCTTTTATCCGACGAGGGACCCGAACAACAACATTGTGCTCGATTTCGCGCTGGGGGTCCCTGGCAGCAAGGTAGACACCGACCCGGTCAGTGGCTTGAGTTACACCAATATGATCGACATGATGATGGATGCTCTTGCGATCGCTATCGAGAAGGAAGGCTTCCACGGGATGCCCGTGGCTATCGGGGAAGTGGGATGGCCAACTGGTGGGCACCAAATTGCGACCGTCGCGAATGCGGAGAAATTCAACAACTACCTCGTCGGGCAACTTATGAGCAAGAAGGGAACGCCGAAGCGTCCCGGCGCTCAGGGCTGGATGCAGGTTTACATCTTCGAGCTGCTCGACGAAGACCTCAAGCCGTACACCGACCTGAACGGGGCCTTCGAACGGCACTGGGGTATGTATTATATGAATGGAACAGGCAAGTATGCGATTGACCTGAGTGTGGGATGGGGGGGCACTGCTTCCACTGTGCCTCCTACCACTCCTACCTCTCCTACCTCTGCTACCTCTCCTACCTCTCCTATCGCCCCTATTACTCCTTCGACTCCTTCCACTGCGCCTCCTGCCAGCCAATCCGGTCCCATTATACCGACCACTTGTACCCCTGGTGAGCGCGGGGGTAAGACGAAGAGTCTTAACCAAACACTTACGCAAGCTGGAGGGCCGAACACATACTGTGTTATCAATGACTGTGCGAGCGACGTGTCCATACAGCTAGCCATCGACTGGGTGTGTGGGCAAGGTCAGGTGGGTTGCACTGCCACCCAAGAAGGCGGACCCTGCTTTGTACCGAACACTCCCGTAAGCCATGGGTCCTTTCTGGTTAATAAATACTATGCCAGCCAGGGCAGGAAGCCAAGCGCCTGCATCTTTAATGGTGCTGGAATGATTATAGGGGAAAACCCATCTTATGGGGCCTGCATCTACAACTGAAGCTGGTGAAATAGGGCTCCACGACGGTCACGAGTCCTTATGACCCTCTTGCATCCATGCAACCCCATTTTGCTTCCTACATGGGTTCTTCTTTTTTTTTTTTTCCTGTCCTTTTTCTTCTTCTTCGTCTTCTTCTTCTTCTTCTTCGTCTTCTTCTTCTTCTTCTTCTTCTTCTTTGTTTTTTTTGCTACTTGCCATGTTGAAATTCAGCTCAACTGGGTTTCCAAGAATGCTCTTTAGAACTAGGCGAGCAGAGTGGACTGGGACCACTTGCGCGGCCGGGCCAAAAAGAAAAATAATTATTTTTTATTTTGAAATTGGTAACGAATTTCGATAAGACCCTGAAGCTGGTGACATATGTCTCCTTGCCCGTTCGGCCCGGGACAACCTGCGCAGCCGGGCCCAACAATGTTCACCTTATTATTCTGCATAACATAGTTTTTTTTTCAGATTTCCACATCATTTTTTGTTTTTTCTTCGTCTGCCAGAGACCTTGCTGGCCCTGGGATGGTGCGCTCTTAGATCAATGGGAGGGTAAAATAGTTTCTCACTTGTTCAACTTGTTGATATGCACCCTCTTCTCTTCTTTTTTTTTTTGGGGGGGGGGTCACAAATGCTCCAGTATATTCGTGGGGAGCGGCACGTGCTTAGAATCCCCTTCTTAGCATTTGATTAATGATTAATAGAATTTAATTTATTAGTCACACTTGGCCATGCATATGTAAGTGTGGACGTATGCATGGCCATGTGCTCCAGATCTTTTTTTTTTTTTTTTTTTTTTTTTTTAATACAGAATTCAAGAATTGTCCAATATGCTCCAAATTCAGGGATAGGTGAGTGGGATCCTGAGGGGTCCATAGGTCCTCATGCAAATTGTCAAGTTTGTGCTGTAGGGTGATTGCTGGGCTTCGACCCTTGGGGCATACTCACTGGAGGACTTTCCTGGATGTATCTGACCTCAATTATGACTGGCCCTGGATTTATTGGGCCGCAATTATGTCCAAGAGAAGATGAAAAAAGTCTTATGCATCAGTATGCTCTTATGCCTGTACCACCCAATGGGATCCCTTGCGACTCTTTGGAGCCAGGACTGCAGGGGCGAGGTCCCTCCAGACGGAACGCCTGAATCTCGACGTGTTTGTGGAAAGGTGCAGAAAATCAAGTTTTCATTGAACTGAGTAATCCCAACCCCAGGTGTATGACGACTCTGAGCTTTATTCACAGATTTTTGAACATTTTTCACGATTTATTTTTGGATTAATTTTCGAGTGTTGGCACTGTTGAAATAATTTCCAGATTTTTCTTTTCTATTCAGAAAGAGCAACCGTATCATGATGAAACCGAACGGCCCCAGGCAATTCAGAGTGACTTCACTCAACTGATTGTACTGAGCAGGGTTTTTTTTTTTTTTTTTTTTTTTTTTTTTAATGCAATACGAAGGCAACACTGAAGGGACCGAGCAGGCAAGCCTGCCCTTTTGGCTAAGATCAAGTGTAGTATCTGTCCTGATCAGTTTAATATATGATCCGTGACCCATCGGGTCACACGGTATTAAATTAATTTTTCAGGGCTAAGGGGGGGCTGACCAGGGTTTTAACTCAGGTCTGATTACCAACAGTTCATGGGGGTACCATTCTTTTTTTTTTCTTTTTTCATGGAGGTACCGTTCAACTACATGGGGTCTGTACATTTCCTATTGCCAAATCGCTCGTATAATTTTCAGTTTCTAATTTATGACCTCTTTTGGTCCTTGGGGGGGAATGGAGCGGCCTCTCTCTCTCTCTCTCTCTCTCTCTCTCTCTCTCTCTCTCTCTCTCTCTCTCTCTCTCTTTCTTTCTATTTTTCTTTTTTTGGAAGTAGGGATGTCTCCAGTCTAATGAAAAAAAAGAAAAGAAAAGGGCAAGTGCAGTAGGAGCCTCGAGGAAAGTTCTGACCTTTGTTTTTTTTTTTTGTTTTGTTTTAGTGAAATTGGATACTTTTTTTTTTTTTTTTAATAAATAAAATGGATACATTTCAATACTACTGTTTTTTTTCTTCTTTTTCTTTTTGTTTCTTATGCCGGTAGTAGCCTGGGCGCTATGAGTATTCTGTCCTCCCCCCTTTTCTTTCTTTTCTTTTCTTTTCTTTTCTTTTCTTTTCTTTTCTTTTTTTCCCTTTCTTTTGTCTGTAAGTTTTTTTTTTTTTTTTTTGCAGAGCATACCATCCTACTAACCCTCCCAAATGACGATTGCTGTATCTACTTGTAGGCCTTTTTTCTTTCTTTCTTTCTTTCCCATGTAGTTTCTTTCTACTTGTATGCTTTTAACAATGCTGATGTTTGGTTTACAAAGCGGTGTCAACTTATGGACTTTCGTGATATCTTCTTCTTCTTCTTTATTTATTTATTTTTGCTTTCTTCTTCTTCTTCTTCTAATAATAATAATAATAATAATAATAATAATAATAATAATAATAATAATAAGGGTTGCCGGCATTCGGGACGGGCCGAACGCCCGAACGTTCGGCACCCCCTCTCGATGCGTTCGGGCGTTCGGCCGAACGAGGATCCAAAAAAAAAAAGAAAAAGAAAAAAAGAATTCCAAAAAATCTGAAAAACATGTATGTTATGCAGGGGCGAGGTYCCACTAGCAACGGGATAGGATAGAAAAGAGTTTGTGTGGCAGTTGAGTGACCCAAATCCTGCCGTGCAGTACTCGTGATCCCAGGGTCAGTGTGTTACATGTATTACCCAAAAAAGTAAGGAGATCTTCGTTCCCCTCCTCCTCTCCTTAACACTGGGCATGTCCGTGCAAAGACAGCTTCCCGCCAGAATCTTTTCGATCCATTGGGGGTGTGGCCAACCCCAAACGAGGTTGGAGTCGGCCTTAGCCCACTGGATAGAAGATTTTCAGCATTTTACTTGCTGTTGTCCAATTATCTCATTGGGTGGAGCCCTCCTTCAATCACGGAGTATATGGAGGGTGTCAGGATCACGGGTGGCAAAAGTCCAGTTTATTCCAGAAAATGTGGCGGTTACTTTGTTCACTGTTTTTGCAACCACCACCATCAGATCATTTGTGATCTGATGGCTGGGAAGCACTCTGCCGTGAGTTCCGGTGGGGGGTCTCTGTTTCATTTTTATTTTTGGCCTTTTTCCTGTTTTCTCAGCCCAGAAATTCGTAATGAAACTGTCTGGCCACTGCCACTCAGTGTCACACTGGATCGGCCACACTCCTATCCGACTGCTAATGGGACCTCGCCCCATAAGAATAAGCTAAACAACATTTGCCTCAACGTTACATCCAAATCCTTTACCAAACTTGAAATAAAAATAGAATACTAAAAATAAATAATACAAAAAATAAAACGAGAATGAAATTATTGAGTGGGCGAGCACGTTTTTGACACCGCCATCTTTGGCGATTTTTTATTTTATTTTTGGCTGTGAGAAATGCCATGAAAATGTATATATGTGTATATTACATAATAGAGAATCTACAAATAAAGTTTGAAAAAATAATAATTTTGTTCATGCCCCGAAATAAAGGAAAAACAAAAAGTGAAAAGAGAGAAAAAACAAATTAGTGAGTGGGGAAGCAAGTTTTGACACCACCATCTTTGCCGATTTTTCATTTTTTTTTTGGCTGAGCAGAATGGCGTCAAAATTTAGAGGGCGGTACCTTAGATCCCAAAGAACTCACAAAACAAAATTCCCAAAAAAATAACAATATTTAGGTGCCAAAATATTTTTTTGCGGGGTCCGTACCCCTTCAGGTTCGGTCCCGTACGGGGACCCGAACGCCCGAACGTTCGGGGGTCAGCTTAGGGGCCTCCGTACGTTCGGTCTGGTAACTCTAATAATAATAATAATAATAATAACAAGAATTTTAGGAAACATACGGGTCACTGCAGGAGCGTCCAAATTAATCCAACTAGAAACGTTTTTACTTGATTATTTTCCGTTGCCCATAGCTGGGCCAAGTACTGCTGGTTTATTAGGGTGGTGGCTTTGAGATATCAACATTGAACTGACCTGCCCAAGGCAATTCGCAATTTCTTTTCGATTTTCATCTGGTTGCATCTGGATTCAAACTTGGATCTGTGTATTTCAACCATGGTTCGTGGGTCTACCAACTGCGCCATGGTATCCGTAAAGAGGCTGAATCCACACATGACAGTAATGAGATGAAAGTTTGTTTTTCCCCTTTTTGTTGTTGTCAACATTCAATTATAAACTTTTATTCAAATCCAGCAACAAAATCAGTTTCCCCAGCCGAGGCCACGAGACACTACAGAGACTCACAGATTCAGATTACAGCGATGTTGACACGTGTGTATAAATTGTTTGTCATCCCCCCCCAAAAAAAAAAAAAAAAAAGTTTGTCAGAGTTGGGTATGGGGTCAAGGACTAATCAAACCATCTAGTAGCTGATTCGCCGCCAAGTTTTCCTCAGGATAGCCGCCTCAGGATAGCCGGGGCGAGGTCCTGGTACTGTGGTCACCCGAATACAATGCACGGCCAGGCTCCCGGAGTGGGCTGAGAGCACTTGTCCGCCCAGACCAAAATAAAGAAAAATAGAAATCTGTTTGCTTTTCTTATTTTAAATTTTGTAAAGATTTGTCCCTGCCTTTCCCCCCCCTCCCCCCCCCCCTCTCTTCCTCAAAAAAACACGGCAAAGTTTGTTTTTCGATGTGACCCTGAGGCAAAGGTTGTTCAGTTTAGTTTTCCGCGTAACATAACTGTTTGTTTCATAATTTTTGGATTATTATTATTATTATTATCATTATTATTATTATTATTATTATTATTATTATTATTATTATTATTATTACTTGGCTGGGATGCTTGCATGGCCGGGCAGCCCGGGCAAAGAAGGCGACCAGGGCGGCCAGGCTGGTAGCCTAGACATAAGGTCATTATAGATGTATTTGGGGCAACTCTGAGTCTAGATACGGCAAGATTTACTGTACGTTGTATTCAGGTGAACACAGTATCAAAGAGGATTGGATTACGCTCCTGAATCTCGATGTGTTTTATGCACAGATGCAGAAAAGCAGTTCAATCTCGATCTTTTGCACCCTTCCACAAA